ACTGATATGTTACTTCAACCAAAATGACACTGATATGTTACTACAACCAAAATGACACTGATATGTTACTACAACCAAAATGACACTGATATGTTACTTCAACCAAAATGACACTGATATGTTACTACAACCAACATGACACTGATATGTTACTACAACCAACATGACACTGATATGTTACTACAACCAACATGACACTGATATGTTACTACAACCAACATGACACTGATATGTTACTACAACCAACATGACACTGATATGTTACTTCAACCAAAATGACACTGATATGTTACTACAACCAAAATGACACTGATCTGCATAATATTTGAGTACTCATTAACATAGCATGATAAAAAAATGTAATATAAAATTTTAATTTAAAAAGCTATTCACTAATAATCTAAACTTGTGATTTTTAAAAGTTGGTTATGATTCATGATTTTGTAAAAAATGCATTTCTATCAAGGAGGAAAAAAACAATTAAATAGTGGATCAACGGTAAGTTTATGGACTTACAATACTAAAATTCCAGGTTCGATTCTCCATGGTGAACAGTGTTCTGAACAACAGTGGAATCTCGGTTTTATCATTCTGCTGTATTAAATCCTTGCACCCTAGTGTCACAGCGGTATGTCTGTTGATTTACAACGCTAAAAACCGGGTTTCGATACCCGTGGTGGGCAGAGTACAGATAGCCCATTGTGTAGCTTTGTGCTTAACTTCAAACAAACAAACAAATTAAATCCTTAGTGTTTCATAGCTTAACACTGATGTGTCAATCCTTAATGATTGTTTCTTACCTAACAGAATTATGGCAGGGTGGATGTAGCGACTGTGAACGCACCCCTAAGTTGCACCTATATATATTTATGAAACGTAGTTAACAGCTTCAGACACCATCAAAATGCATCATTCACAGTGAAAGTTACAAAATATTTCTCAAGGTGTTTGCCCTGGATCCTTTAGTATAGCTTTATCACTCATTTCATTTTTCCTACAAGAGTAGCGCCCCTTTATATAATTTTACCAACGCCCGCACCCCTTTATAGATTTCTGATTACGCCTCTGTATGACATACTTAACCAGTGGTTTTAATGATTGTATGGTTGTTATTCTAAATACTTCGAAATTGATTTCAGAACATTATAACCTTATTTATTTTCAGATAAATAATGTAGTTACAATATCCATGACAATAATTATATCATTAACGTTCTCGGCGACAAACCGGGATTAAATTCTTCAATGAATACAATTAGAACTATACAAGTGAATAGGTTATTCGAAAACTTCATTAACATATATTTTCCTGAAGTATAAACTTGGACACAAACTGAAAAGTTTGCGCAAAAAAACAGAGGTAAATCGAAAATTCTCACGCTCATCAAAACCGAAAACGAATCACAGTATCAAACACTAAAATCTCATTGTTTTATTATTATTATCACTTAACAAACACATCTAATGCGTTCCTTTGTATAAATGATGAAATATAAATACTAACTACATGCAAAACTTCCGTACCTTCTTAATTAAGTACAAACTGTAAATCATAACACGTCACGTAAACTACAATGTAACAAATGTAACCAATAATACCTTTTAACTTAAGATCAGGTCCGGCATGGCCAGGTGGTTAGGGTGCTCGACTCACAATCGAATCCCCGTTCCACCAAACATGCTCGCCCTTTCAGCCGTGGCGGCGTTATAATCGGACGGTCAATCCCACTATTCGTTGGTAAAAAAGTAGCCCAAGAGTTGGTGGTGACTAGCTGCCTTCCCTCTAGTCTTACACTGCTAAATTAGGGACGGCTAGCGCAAATAGCCCTCGTGTAGCTTTGCGCGAAATTCAAAAACAAACAAACTTAAGATCATAATACATGGTTGCATATGAATGGTGAAATATCATAATAGAAACTGTAAGTAAACGATTTTTAAATTCTTAAATAAATGTAATCGTGCTAAAAAAAAAAAGAAAGAAAAAGAACGACTGTACCAGTTTGGTATAGATTAAGTACAATGGTGATGTTATCTCTAGAAATCCGTCGTTTCGTTATTATGAATTATTAACTACTAAAAACTAGTTATGAAATCGAAACTTTATTAAATCATTGTTTTCGCTTTTCAAAAGTTACTTATTCTGAAAACACAATCTCCAATTTAAAAATTACAACTCTTGTCGAATGAAATATAACCTCTAAGTGCACTTTTAGTAGAAACACTAGTTATTAAAACTGACGTACTATAAACAATACTTTGTTTTCTAACACTAGTGGTTTGTTCTTCAGTGTGGAATGGCATTGAAACTAACAGACGTATACCACCGACATTAAATCATGTAGGCGTTAGTGGTTTGTTCTTCAGTGGGTAATGACATTGAAACTAACAGACGTATGCCACCTACATTAAATCATGTAAGCGTTAGCGGTTTCTTCTTCAGTAGGGAATGACATTGAAGCTAACAGACTTATACCACCGACATTAAATCATGTAAGCATTAATGGTTTGTTCTTCAGTGTGGAATGACATTGAAACTAACACACATACATCACCTCGATCTTTGAATGTCAGTGGGAACCATTCATTGTTCCATAAAATAAAATACAAGTCATAAAGTTTATTTAATATTATGAATTTTAAAAGCAGTGTGTGCTTACTTTATTGGGCCGCTGAAAACGTTTGTCATTTTCAGCTGTGCGTGCATTACAAGAGTAACAGTCAATTCCGTTATTCGCTTCAAATATCCGAACAAAACTTCGTCGTGGCGGATGCCGTTCACCAATTGTCTTCCTTCTGATCAGTAGCTCAAAATACAGACAGCTATATCTGAACCCTAGTTCTCCCTAACCTGGCTATTTCACCACGTGTGCATAAATATTCCAATTACACATACAACATGTAAAACTTCTGTCGACAATAACTAATCATGAATGTAAAATTTAATTTAAATCTACATAATTCATATAATCTTTTGGCTTTAACAAAAAACATCTAATATGTATACGGCCAGGTACAAATAACAAAATCTGGCTAGCAGTCTAAGCCCAGTGAAGGAGCCAGGTAAGCGGTGGAAAATAAGTTATGCACCAAAGTACAGGATTTTAATATATCACTTATCAAATTCAATTGAATCTTAAAACATGATATTTGTTGTGAATGTTTAGTCAAGTAAAGTCAGAAAGTGTTTATGTATTAACTTATTATAAAAAAATTAAGGCATTCTTTTTATCTAATATCGTTATCAAAGATTTTGATATGCGGGAAGCAGCTTTTGATTAGTGCAAGATCATGATCTTCAGCTGGCAGTAATGTGTCAGTTGTTTGTTTCAACGAAAAACTGTACAATGGGTTACACGCGTTGTGCCCACCGAATTTTAGCTTTAGAAGCCCTCAAGTTTACAGTTGATCCACCAAAGGCATCACTAATGTTATATAAACATATCTCAGAATTTAAAACTTGGCTTTTTTTATTTTTCAGTCATTTGCCTAGCACGGAGTATTGGAAAAATGCAAATCAAACCATATGGGAAGAAGAACTAGGTGGGATGAGAAAAATCATTTCCAAATTTGCCAACATACCGGAGTCTGACATTGTAGGTGTTAGAGCACCATTTCTTCAAACTGCTGGCGATGTAACTTTCGGCGTGATGAAATCGCTAGATTTCCATTACGATAGTTCTATGCCTACTCGTCAAAAAGCTAACCCCCCTCTATGGCCATACACTATGGACTATGGCTACCAACAAGACTGCCAGATTACCCCATGCCCAACGAAAAACTATAAGAGCTTTTTCATAGTACCTATGGTGAACTACTTCAGGAAACTTGAAATTGCACCAGGACATTTCTTGGATATACCTTGCGCTATGGCTGATGCTTGCCTTCCTCTTCCGGAAACCGAAGACGAAACCTTTCAGTATTTAAGAGAAAACTTCGAAAGACACTACAGCACTAACCGCGCGCCATTCCCCTTGTTCCTTCACCAAGCTTGGTTTTCTAATCCGGAAAGAAAGAAAGGTTATTTCAAGTTTGTTGACTGGTTGCTTCAAAAGGACGATGTTTTTATTGTTACTATTAGAGAAGCCCTAGAATTTGTGAGAAATCCCCAGCCTCTCGACAACTACAAACAAGTCTGCAAGAGTCCCAAGCAATCCACTTGTGTGTCCAACCAATGTACTTATTCGAAAACACCTCTTAACGGCCCTAGAAACATGAAATGTTGTGGTACGTGTCCTGCTAACTATCCGTGGCTATGGAATGTTGAAGGAAATTAACACATTTTTAGTTAGTTTCTTTAGACCACTCTGAACGATGAATGATTCACCGAGGTAGACAAACTTGCTGGTGTGCAGAATAATTATCTTTGAAATAATTGTACTAATACAAATAAAGTTTTATTAATTGATATTATAATTGTAACAGATATTAATCAATGATAAAAATAAATGTATGAGCAAAAACGTGAGATGGAGTTTTTAAACAGACAAAATCGTAAACATTTCAACTATTTCTGACTAATTTTAATACAAATATATGGGGGGAAGTATGGAGAATATTGAAACTGCACTATTTAATCAAACATTTATTTACAAAAAATACCCATTAATATGTATGACTTTCTATTAACACGATCACTCTCAAAGTAATATTAATGCTTTTTTGAAGATAACTAAGTGATGTTATTACATCAAGTGGTTTCGAGTTCATTCAGAATGTTTTCCCACTATAGGTGATTTAGTTTTATGAAAACTGAATTATAGAAACATTTCTCCAGTTTAGTTGCACTTAATACAACGAACTGTAACAGAAGATCGGTACTAAGAAAGAAAACGTATATCCGTACTAAGCTCTGTACGTTCTAACCGTAAAGTATCAGTGCCTCTGTATTCGTATTTAGTTTTGAAAGTTATATATCGTTACCTACTATATCTTTATTTAGCTCTGTAAGTTTCGAACGTATAGTATTGCTGCCTACTGTATCAGTATTTAGCTCTGTAAGTTTGACTGTACAGTAATTGTGCCTACTATATTCGTATTTAACTCAGTATGTTTTGAATGTAAAGTGTTGGTGCCTACTATATCCGTATTTAACTTTGTGTGTTGTGAACGTAGAATATTACTGTTTATTGTATGTTTAGTTGGCTCTTTATGTGTCAGTTTAATTTTCTGATCAAAGTATGAGAAGAAATGACAAAACTACAAAAGAAAACAGAAATTTACCAAATCATTGATTGACGCCATTTTAATAATTAAATCTTTCAGTCAAAGAACTGTGATAAGAGACACAGAGTGTAAGATAATAACCTCATAAGTAACAGTTAATTTAAAACTGAAACATTAATAAACAAAGTGCTCCTTTAGACTCATTCTACTACCACGACGCAGCAACGAACAGTACACTGCCACAACTACTTCTCAAATAGGTGGCGGTGCTGTTGATCGGTTGACATCGCTCTCTTCCTCTGGTCAATAGCTGTAAGTTAGGAACGGCTGTGTGTAAACCTTAGAGTCTTTCAACTGATAATTTAACCTTTATGTCATTTAAGATGCCCTTCAGGTTAAAGATATCGAATGTCTAACCATACACGTTATTTACTATTCGTAGCAATGAAAAATCTTAACTGCCTTATTTTCACTAAACTTATGTCCTGTGTCTAACCTCAGTTAATGACGTTACAGTATATCAGTCGTTCGCTGTGTTAAATGAAATCATCTATAAATCAAAAGAAAAATTACATAAAATAATTTAAACTATGTTTGTAAAATTTAGGATTTCTGATTGATTAACTAACAATAATATATAATATACTGGAAATATTAACTAGTAACAAAAAACCAATTCGAATTGGGATATTCAACATGAAAGGTAACTAATGTTGAATGGCCAAGTGAAGACCTGTGAACTTGAATAACTGTCAAAGAAAAAGGAAACCAGTCTTTAGCACCTGTCGCCACAAGTGTTTTGTCCGGCTCTTTGAACTGTATAATGGGATCTATTATCACTTTTAGTCACAAAGTCCCCTTGCAATTAGTCCTGATGAATCTATTGAGGGTTTATAAGATCTTTGGGAGGTTGATTTAGGCTTCTACACACCTTTTCCCTATCATTTCAAAATTAAACTATTTTATTAACTAATAAATAAAATATTTTACTGATTGACAAATAAAATAGTTTACTAATGAACAAATAGAATCCGGTGAAAAATATATGTATTCAAAATTTGCACTAAAAGTTTCTTTTTCAGTTGCCATGTTACTCTTCTTTCGTTAATAACATCTTCGAATAATTCAGAACTGTAAGATTTTAGAAGACCTTAGTGATTTTATGGAAAGTTGATTAAAAAGTATTTACTATGTTCCCTAGCTTTTCGATCCTCGGCGAAGTAAAATTCATTGATGGGGTTTTAATTGGGGGAGCAGAGTAGTTCAGAGATTAGCAAATTAAATTGTTTGAGAAAGTTGGCCTGGGTTATTTTTCAAACATTTCTCCAACTACTGACTTCCTCCACTTTCGTAAGGAAAATATTTTCTGTGCTTATTCGATTTAAAAAAAAAAATATCCTAGGTGAATTAATTCGTTTAGAATAGCGGTTGAAATTTTCTAAATGTACTTGACTTCTTTTTTTCTTCTCTTTTCTGGAATTATGAAGTAGAATCGAACAGGTCAGTGAGTCAAAAGTTCACGTTCCGTTACCGAAAAATATAATCACTACAGTTATAACTCCAATTAACAGTTCCTCTAACTTTAAGGTGATCAGGTGACTATGAGTTTCTCTTATATCGTATTTTGTAATATCATGTCTTGTAAATTAGTTTTTATCAGTTTGGTAACTTCAATAATAACGAATAGTGCCTTGTAATTTACTGTGCAATTATATAAACTATTTTGAACAATTAATAGATAACTATTATCTCCATTTCACATAAAACGCTTTGTCTCCATATAAAAGAGGTTAAATCAGTTCACACCACATATTTATCATTTTTACTCACCAACTACAGAAACATAATTACTTAGTTCAATCTACCATCGAGTGCAGACATTTCTGAATAAGATGCCCAATTTCAATTTCCTTGAAGGACGCAAAAAAAGTAGGACAGTGAATAATTACTACCGGTTCTTTCCAGATCTGGATCATGTGTTGGATTTTTTTAAATATTATCAAATTTATATAACTGTAATCAACTTTAAGACTGCGTCATTTGCATTGGTAATTTATATTTGGCTGATTAGTTAACGACGTTACCCCATTCCAGAGCCCCATCCCAAATAGTAGGCTCAATAACGTTTAAATTATTTCCCACACTTACCATTCCCATCCTTCAACATCGATCCGGTACTCTTGATCCGGTACAACATGACTAAGCGATGGTAAATCACAGGTGTGTGCAAATTATGTAACTATATAATATCTTAGTAATTCTGAAAATATAAACAAATGTTTGCCTTTCAACTGAATGTCATTATTTTAGCTTGATAATTAAAAAACTTAAATAACACAGCAGCATATGAAAAAATCAATATGACTGCATTAAGAAACTAAAGTACGCGCGATTTACACTGTTAATAAACGTGTACAAAATACATTCATGTTGCTTAGAGGTCGAATCAGAAGCTTTTTAAGGAAACAAACTGAACTTTGTTAAGGTAATGAACAAGATTCATTTTAACTCGTGCAAAAAAATAGTATATTAAGCTTCACGTGTGTTGAATAATAATATTTTATCATAAAATACGTCTTTGCAATTGACCTCTATTTATGTGGGATCAAAATCCAGTTTTCTAAATTTAATGTCATCCAATATTATTGTGATTACTTTACTTATGTAATCTTCTTTAATCAAAATAACTCTGTCACTCCCTTTATCTGGTGTGAATATAATTATTTCTTTCTTTTGGCTTAAATTATTAGTCACTTCTATTTCCTCCTCAGTTATATTTAATTTTTACTGAAAGCAATAAAAATACGTTAAGGCCAACACTGACATCTAGTACAATTTCTTCCACTTTCTTTCTTAATAGGATTATCTTTTAGTTCCCTTGCAAGTTTTATAAAACACAAAAAGTAATTATAATAATCAACATTTGAAAATTATAATCCTTAAGATAGTACTTTCTTTTCTGTTTCTCTAATTTTTACTGTGACAATTATGCATAACTTGATCTCGAATATCAATAAATGTTTTAGTAAGACCCTCTGTTCTTCTTAAATCGTTTAATTTCTTTAAATGATTCAGTAATGTTTGTAATTATCTTCTAAGCTAACCAAATTCTCCAAATTGTTGTTTTATCTAAGTCTGAAGCACTTCATAATAATATTGACTATTCTTTAATTTTAGTTATATGTCTTAGATAGAAGAAACATTCAGTATTTAACATTAATTCAAAACTTAAGATAGCCTATTATATTGTACTTAAAGATAAAAATGTTCTCAATTTCTAAAAATGTTTAAACTATGATTATTATGTCTCTTATTTGAGACATCTGCAGTATATATATTAAGATTCACTGTTTGTGTGTGTGTGTGTGTGTTACGTAACTCTTTTTAAACTGAGGGTCGTACAGACTTTTGAGTGTTACCAAACGAATCGTCTCGATCCCGATATTTTCACAAAGGTAAACCGTTCCACCCAGTGGTGGGATTCAGCCGGTTCGCACCAGTTCGTGCGAACCTGTTCTTAGAATTTAATGACCTCCACGAACCGGTTGTTAACAATCGTATGTATAGGCCTAATAATAAAGTTACAACTTACAAGTACGGTTGTTTACAACGCAACTTTACTAGCAGGCTAGGCGGACTAGGTCTACTAGATCTCTGATGAATCATTTACCAGCAGGTAAGTGTTTTTTTATACAGATTCTTATGATCTTATCT